GACAGGCAATTGAAGTCATCTTCCAATCCCAGACACCTCGTCATCCATTAGGATGTGCTGCTGCAATAAATAGCACACTCATTTGCTTGCAGGTGTCCTAAGCCCGCCTGCCACCCCACCCACAACCTTGGAAAACCTCTGCTCCTGGGGGAGCACTCTAATGCGTCAAAATCCTTCAACTTTTCACAGCCTTTTGCGCACAAAATGCGGTGGGCAAAGGGGCGTGGCTGGTGCTGAAGAGCCCTTAGCTCTCTAGCGAAAACAAAAACAAAAAAGGAAAAGCTCTACAATGGAAATGAATAAAAAAAAACGAACAAAAAAAAAAAATGAAATCGTAGAGAGAGACTGACAAAAGTATTTGAATTGACAAGTGCCATCAAAATAGAAGCGGAATTAAATTTATCATGCCAAGTGGTGGCTTCGCCAGTTGGGGTGTAAGGTGAGGCTATGATGGGCTGTCGAGGGATGAACAGCCCGGGCAGAAGTTACATCAACCGGCTGAAGCAGCGTCATCGATCAACTCGAGCGGAAGGCAGTTCCGCCGGAAGGAAGGCGAACTTTTAAATATTGAATAATATGTTTTTCTTTCTTTTCAACCAAAGCCTCCGGCCACGCCCCCGTTTTGACTTGTCTCGTTTTGGTTGCCAAAAGTTAGGCATAATGATGGGGCGAATGATGAGCGGAATCTTGACAGCTTTGCACAGTGTGATGGGAGCTATTAAAAACTGCATGAAAATATAGAATAATAATGACAAGAAAATGGAAATTCATACATAAATATTCACTATATATATATACTAATTTTAAAGGTTTAAAAATATATTTAATAATATTAAAAAATATATAAGAACCACTGTTAAAGAGCTTCCTAAATCGATCAGCATTTTGCTGATGATGACGACAATGACGAAGTGCCTTTGGATTATTGGGTAAACAAATCAGCTCAAACTCCAAGAGTAGAGAAGGCTAAACGTATGATGGGGAAACGATGGCAACGGCAGCAAGATGAGATGAGCCTGGATAGGAAGCTCTGCAATTTGAAACTCCACCAGCTTGCCACTTGAATTTGCCATGCAGCCTTTCGTTAATATTACAACATATTTCAAAAGGGCTTTTTAATTTGTATTTAATTTCATAATTAGAGCTGAGCCCCGACACGTTCTCCGTTTACTCGGATTACGGAGCACGGCACGCGACTCCATTTCTTTCCGGACACCCGACCTGCTCTCCGGCGAATCGTGTTAAATGTAATCCGCTTAGCGTTCATAATTTCGGCTAATACATGCCAGGACCTCAGGTTCGTATGGGCCTTTCAGATCCGACAATTATTCCCAGGCGCATTGAAGTCTGTTAAAAATGGGAGGGGTCTTTGGGTGGAATCCTGTCTGAAATATGGCCTCGCGTTGGAGGCCTTTCAATGTAAACATCGCCCGAGAAGTGGACAAATCGTTCAACTAAAAACGACAGCAATCAAACAAAATTGAATATCAGCGGAAACGGAAACGCCAAAAATCGACAGCAGCAACCGGCAGCCAGAAAAATGCTGGGTTAAAAAAAGCGGATGTCGACGTGGCATTTGGGGCAGGGATCCTGGGGAATTGCGGGGGCTCACGGCAATTGTTACGTGTCAATAACTGCAATAAAAAATCCGACTGCAACAGCAGCCCATCCTCCCAGCCCCCTTACCAGGCAGACTGCGCCTCAATAACTCTGCAACTCAAATCAAAATCAACGTTGCATTTCAATTGCGAAATTGCCAACTGCCAAACGTCCACATCCGCTCATCAATCGCCCCAGGAAAAATGGGGATCCATCGGGTCCAGATTCGACCCACCTTTCTGTACACCAGGAGAATATTAAAATAAATGTCCATCAGTTAGTTATTCCAGCGAGTTATTTGTTTCGTTCGAGATTAAATTAAACTAGGCCGTGAATGGCCTGTTAGCTGAATCGTGGAAATAAGGCCAACAAAAAAATGGCTTTTAATCTATTTTAAATGGTAAGGGGAACATTTTTCATAGCAAACTTTTAAGCTTGAAGGGAAAATGAAGTTTAGTGGGAAAATAACAGCACACTTTGCTTTACTAGGAATCATCATTTAATCATTTTTATGCAGATAACCGATTAAAGAAATGTTGAACTCATTTTCTTAAGAAACGGGAAACACAAGCAGAAGCTATAAAGTTATGCAATATGCAGATTCTAAAGTATAGGCTGATATCATTCGATCAAAATGAGTATTTCATGTAAAAATCTGGCATTTTGTTCCTTTTTGTTCAAGTTAAAGCCAAGCGTATCATCCGATGTCTCTGGCCATATGTCAATTTATCTGATTTGCTGATCGCACCAGTTAACTTGCATACAATATCTTCCCGCCTGGTTTGATACCCATTACCTAATCTGGAGGGATGCATCTGCAGTGATCTATTGAGATGTCATCGTGTGCCCTCTAACAAAGGAAATAGCAATTGTATTCCGGTTGCAAGTTCCTTTCATCGTTTTTTTGCATGCCACCGGGGTTACTTCGATGGGTTCATGTTGCAGCAGTTATTAACACTCTGTCAGCGATTTGTCACAAAAATGCCTCGTATGACATGTGTGCAAACAAGACTGGCAAACTATGTCGGGGGTTGTACTGATGCTCCTCGAAAGGGATGTCCTCACCAGGATAACGGATTCACCCTATCTATGGCAAGCAGCGATGTGAGATTAATGAATATGTTGTTTACTTTTAATTTGACACAAAAACTTAAATTTAAACTCAATAAAGGCAGATGGATTTTTATAGAGATTTTCATAGCTTCTCTCTTTCCAGTTTTACTTTTGTTCCAACCAAGTATTTATGCATATCTGTAAAAGTTTAATTAAAAACACATCAAACTGCAGACTCACAGGAATCAATCACAATTTCCAATCGCCGTCGACGAGGGTCGCGTTGGAAAATTGGCGAAATGTGAAAAATGCACAAGGATGAAGTGGAATCAAAGGAATGCTGCACTGGCCAAAGGGATGTGTGTGCAGGAAATTACCCCAAAAGCTTCGATGAGGATGTTTCTATAATAAATGCAGACTAATTAAAAATTCCAACGAGGGATTGGGACAGTTCCCCTTTTATCCTCTTTTTTATTTATGAGAAAAGTATATATCTTATCAGTAACTATAAAACTAGTTACTTTGATTTCTTACCACATTTCCACACTCTTTTTGCTAAGCTAGCTCCTTTAGCTTCTTTCAAAAAAAGTTCCTTCTTGAAGTAGCAGACCAGGACTTCTAACTCCCTATCTCAGTGAATCCGTGCATGGCCGAGGAGAAATTGCTTCCACTCGGCTGGCCTCATTAAGTGGCAACAAAACAAAAGTCGACCACAACATTTCAAATCAAATATAAAAGTCAAAAATCCATCCAAGCCGAAACGAGGGCGTTGAGGGAACTTGGCCAGCAGCTCCTGGCATGCAAATGTTTCCTGGGGATGGGAGGGCAGGAGTTGGGCTAACCGCATTCGAGGCACCAAGACGCCGGCAATGAATGAGAATTTGCTTTGCGGAAAAACTTAAACACCGGAAACAATTAATTCCACTTGAATTAACATATGCACAGATTGGCCTACCGTTCGGGGTGGTGGGTGTGAGTGGCCAGTGGTGGGTGGAGGACGAGGAGGCTTATTCTAATCGAGGACCTTCGAAAGTGTTGACTGCCCGTGGTGGGGTTGATTGATCGCAGCCCCTTGGTCCTTGGATGAACACCAACCAGGAAAACTTTCGCCATAAGCGTTCCTATAGCCATTCGTGTTTATGAGCCAAAACTTTTGTTAGACTCGCGGAGAAGGGGCTACAAAATAGACACTGAAAATTTGTCTTCTTTCTCTAAATTTATAATTCTGTCTTTATATAATCTAAAAAAAAAATTCACTTCAATACAGTAATTACCCAGAAACTAAGACATACTTTCAAGACAACTTTCTCAAGAAGGTTGCTTTTAAATAATGTTATTTCCATTTCTATCAGTGTAGAGTCCTTTCCAAAGGGGTTGAGGAAAATAGTTGGGTGTACCGCATTGCGAGCAAACAGTTTCAGAAATGAGTTAAAAAGTTAATTGCCAGCGGACAGGTAATTTCTGGCACACTTCAAGTGCAAATGCCATTAAGTAATATGCAAACAAGGGTGGCTCCACCCCCGAGGCCACTGAATGCCACCGACTGCCACCCTTCCACCCTTGGATCGCTGGCCAAGTCAATCAAGGAGCAGGAGCTGACAGGCTTGACTGCCGCGACACGAAAGCCATAAAGTCACGAAATGCCTCCAACTTCAACGTTGATCCTGGTGTCCTGGTTGGGTCCTTGTCCTCCCATCATACCATCCCGCCTCGACCCCTTGCGTGTGCCTTGCGGTTAGTTTTACAGTTAGTTATAAAAGGAGAACAATGGTACACTCAGAAAAACTAAGGCCTTAGTTTGGTACGATATTTTTATTATCAGATCGCTCAGTTCATTCTTGTTGTTTACGTTTTGGAAATTCCCTTTTCAACACATTTAAATCACTTCTTAAATTAACAAGAAAACAGCGGCCAGAACTTCCACTGAAACATGACGTCCATTAGATGAATAAACCTCTTTAAAGAAAGTAAGATAAAAGCCCTTGCCAAGTTCGAAAGAGTTCAGTTTTTTACAAACAAGTGGCAGCAACAGTTCATAAATATTATTATTAAAATAACAAAGAAAATAAGAATTTGACTTGAATTTTCAAAATTAATCATTAAAACAGGAAAATGGGAGTTAGAGGTGCAGTGACATTGGTGTTAAAAAAGTGTTTAAATATATAAAACTATAGAAAATCTTAAAACAAGTTTAAAAATATTTCAAAAACCTTTTTTCAGGAAGCTTCTTAATATTTCTACTATCAGTGGTTCTTCTGAAAACTTTGCAGGCATACAGGCACGAAGTTAAGTGATAAAAAATAGTTCTGATATCAATGCTTATGCAATTTCTTATCTTAAAACTTTAGTTTGAGCAAAGAGTGCTTGAGGCCCATAATTATTATCGCGGGATGCATGGTGCTCCGCCCTTAATATTGAATCCCAGGATGAGTCAGATGGCCACCCAGTGGGCTCAGGTAAGAACTTCTTAAGTCGAACATCCGAGACAATCTTCTAAGAGATCTTTCCATTTATTTAGTATTTGTCAGCCACAAATAGTATGTTCCACAGCCAAAAAGCAGGATTTGGGGAGAATATTTTCTTTTCTTCAGGGGCCAGTCTAGGAGGATCAGAGGCTGTGACTTCATGGTACAGAGAGATTATGTATTATAATTGGAACTATCCTGTGTTTAGTTACACCACCGGGCACTTCACTCAGTTGGTGTGGAAGGGTTCCACTTACTTAGGTGTTGGCATTGCCAGAAGGTAATATATCTGAGTTAAAGAGAAGAAAGTCCTTCTATTAACTATCTTTTAAAGGGGCAATGCCATTCATGTCGTGTGTAACTATTATCCCGCTGGCAACGTTCCGAACGGTTTCTGGCAGAACGTCTCTCCTCAAAAAGATGTAACTTCAGTAAAAGAAAATTTTATACAAGTAATAACTTATTATTAATTAATAAAATAACCAAGCATAAAGGGTTTTCTCCCGTCTAAATTGTGTCCAGTGTAGAGCCTTTGCCCTACCAGGTGGATGAGGGTTTGGGCACTGATTAGGGAGGGAGGTGGTGAGGTGACCGCACAGCGCGTGCTCACGTTTAGGCGTAACAAATTACTATTAAACTGCATAGAACCCTGCCCCCTCTGGCCCACTGATTATTATTTAATGATGAACACGGACAGATTGTCCCAATAAACAACCGTCTGGGTCTCGAGGGCTGGTTCATAGTTGAGTTCCCCGCCTAATTATACCTCATACGATATATCCAGTTGCCTTGGGACGTGTCCTGGCAGCTCACCCACTTTCTGTTAGCCATGGCCAATGCTCAAATGCAAAAAGTTAACTTTGCCAGTTGGCTAATCAAGAGCGTGTTCCATATCTGTGATCCAATTTGAATTGGCAAAGATTTGGATAAGAAACAGGATGTTGTTCAGAAGGCCTTCGAAGCAGGTCTTCAATGGAAAATGGGTTTGTTTCCCAAGATTTATCAATAATTTAATGGGTTACAAAGAGTATTTTCTTATAAAAAACATTTCTATTAGCGTCATAATCTGTTTCCCCCAGCTTAGTCACAAAACCAACTTAACCTTAAGCCTTGCTTTACCTTATTATTTAAGCTGGGCATTTAAAGTCAAGTAGCTATATCCCTTAATCAAGAAGATATATCTCTTCCACATAAACAATTACATAAATGAGTATCTGAAGCTGTTTGTTTCTCTCTGTGTGTGTGTGTGTGTCTGCATCCACCGGGTGACTAATATCATCGAAGGAATGCAATTATTCAAGTGCTGCCAGCCAATTCTGGAAAATGCCAAAAACAGCCAAACGAATTTTCCGCACCGTCAGCAGGCAGGGCAGGGCAATTTTTTAATTTCTTAATTTTTGCGAGCTCATGGAAGAATTAGCCACGTTGCCACTTGGCCACGTAGCAGCCAAGATGTCGCTGGACGATGGTCCAACCCCCGTGCGAAGGGCGGTAATATTTCTCTATCTCTCCAGTCTCTGGGATGGGAGGTAGAAATGGGAGATGATGCTGAACTGTGGCCTTTGTCCGCCTTTGCCAAGTTTCCAGGGTATATTCCTGAACGGAAAGTGTTTGCTTTTAAACAAGATTTTTCCACATTTTTCATTAACATTCCAAAATAAAACATTTAAATAAATATTATTTAACATTTCTAAGCTATTTAATAACAATTTCGATTGATAATGTTTCCCTTCAGACTAGGTATCTTTTAGTCGCTATGATAGGATTATTATTTTCTTAATTTTTCCTTTCTGCCTTCACTTCGGCATTGCTCTGCTGGCAAAGTTTATTCATTTAGAAAATTTGCTCATTTTCACTGTTCACTGTGAGGGGGCGAGTTATTGTTGCTGCCAGGGATCTCGATCCGGCATCCAGCATCCAGTATCCAGCATTTGGCATCCAAGGGGGTTAATGTGGTACGTGAGCACAGTTTTCATATAAATTGCGGCCAATAACATTTTTCAGTTGGCAGGACAGGAAAAGCGCGGACAAAGCAAAAGAGCAGGACGCCAGATGGAAAAAAAAAAGATGAACAAAAGCTGCTGATGATGGCTTCTTTTTGGTTGGTCTGTTCCTTGGCCCGAAATCCGGCTCATTAAGCCCTGGGCTGTGGTCATCGCGGGTGTTGGCCTTGCGGTGTGGCTGTGGGTGTAGCGGTGGGTGGGGAAATCTGGATCGGAGTTTTCCTGCCTTCCTTCTTTCTTTTTCGGCCATTAGCTAGAAGGACGTTGGCAGGGTGGAGAGGGATATGCGATGGACGGGCAAATTATTCCCCAAATACCCCGAGGTAATTATAAATGTCATTCCACGCTCGGCTTAGGCCAGAGACAAGGACACAGATAGCGGGGCAGAAAGAGAGCGGGCGAGTGGCGGAGACAAGGACGGGGATGGACAGCGGATCAGGTCCCGTCAGTTGGACGCCGTGTTTTGTCTATCATAATGAGTGGCAGGCGGACATTTGGACATAATTGTTCAATTATTTTGTTACTTATTGCCTGCCAGCACCACAGCCACCCTCTGACCCACTAAATGCCACCCAAAGGCACCCAAAATCAGAATGGATTCACCCCCAACTCCAGGCAGAGAAAGAAACTCATGAGAATTGTGTGGCACTTTCATGGCTTATATAACTACTTCAGTTTTGCTTTCTCTCAGTGTAGCTTTGTTTTGTTAATTTCGAAGCTCTGTCTTTGGCCATCCACTTCGGATATTTGTCAATTAGATATTTTCGCCAAATCTTTCTCGAGTCTTTCTTTCCAAAGAGTATAAATATGTTATATATATAACTATATATATATATATGTATATATGAGGGTGCCACGCCCTTGCCGCACCACATGACAGCAAGTCAACAGGAGACACCCACAAATGGAACACGCGACAGTCGAACGTCAAATTCAATTACAAAAGCCAACTCAACGGGGAATTAAATAGCGGGCGTGGGGGAACTTAAGAGGGCGTGGCCAAGCCTCAGGTGAGCTGCGCCATTCAATTATAAATTTTCAATAAAAATTTGTGCCACTTTGACGAGTAATAATATTGTTTTTGACATTCACTGAAAGAAAGAGGGCTTTCCTCTGCCACCCTAAGAGGTCTTGGAAAAGGTCCTTGTGCGATTTCACACATTATTGCATAATGAAACCCCATGGGGTCCTTGAAAGTTTGCCTTTTAGAATAAAATATACTGTGGGATGCATGTGAGTTAGCCCTAGGCGAAGGAGTTTCGACCTGTGAGTGACAGTTTCAGCTGAGAGAGTCAATGAGCAGAGATGGAACAAGGTTTTCTATTATACAAGGCCTTTAGAATGGTGATGACGGAGTAAAAAGTTCTACGAATGGAACTGGAAAATGAAGCGCAGATAATGCTTAATGCTTAATGCATCATAATCTATAGTTGCATTGAACATTTCATAATACACCTCAAATCCCTCAGAGAGGAACTGCTCTTCACTCATAACCCCAAACATTTAGTGTCTATCAAAAGCTGCAAAAATAAATTCCAAGAAGGCCAGTTAGGCATGCAGATTTATGCATCATCTTTCGAGGCCTTTGTGCCCGAGCCGCGCGAATCATTCAAATCCGATCCAAAGGGTGACAATTCCAATTCTGAACCCGTTGGAGAATGCGTGTGAATCGCATTGAATCCCTCAATGACATATCGGTAAATCAGTGCCACAGTACCGGAGGCGGTGGCGGGGCAACGCATTCCGTGGCACATAAAGCAAAAGTTCGACCAGGACACAGACCCATCCGCGAACCAGGTCCACTCTTTCGGTCCACTGCTGACAGATGGACAAGAAGGAAAACAAAGCAAAAAGCGGCCACGGAGAAACACAAAAATATCGCAATGATCATAAATATTATTCCGTTTTGATGTCCCCTGGCGGCCCACAAAACTTGCCTGTGTAAGTGACAGTACAGTAAAGCTTCTCTACAACGAACTGAGTATCTAAGCAGTATTAAAATATGTATTAAAATCATTAAAAATCTACCACTCCGCTAAGAAGAAAGCAAAGATTGTATAGGAAAGATGTTGAAGTATCCAAGATCTATAAATCCAAGGACCTTTACCATAAAGGTTAACCTGTAATTCTGAGCGATGATGTGGGGACAGGAACAGGGACATCATCTGCACTCACCGACGGGCGTCAGGAATTGCCAAAAAGGGCTTTCCATTTTTCACACAGATGCAGATGCTGATGGCGATGGCCAGGGAGATGTTGATGCAGATCCCCAAGAGCTGCGGCAGCGGCGGCGGCAAAAAAGGTGTCGAAGAAATTGTTCGACAACCAAGCCGCAGCCAGAGTCAAACTCCCAAGTCAAAGTCAGAGTCAGAGTCGGAAAGCCAAAGCCGAGGACCTTCTGCTGCCGATCTGCTGCATAAATGAGGCAACCAGAGACACGCTGTCTGGCAATGTGCGACTGTCTCGAGGCAGTCTCAGCCCCTCTTCTGGAACCAAGTTGGAGTCGGGGTCGTCACTGGGGAGCTGCGGAATCCAAGCAGGCGTCGCATTGTCTTCCTTGCCATTATTAGTTGGGATGTTTGTTAAAAGCAGCCGCGACGATTTGGATTTGAATTTCAGCAGCTGGGGGGAAATATTAAAATAGTTCAGAGATACGATCACCTCTCCAGGATCCCCAAAAGAAACCAACAATTTGAGCATTCTATGCAAAATATGATAGAAATCTGAGGAAAGCTGCTCGACTGCCTGTTGGCATTCAGCGCGAAGAGATTCAAAATCATATGCATTTCTTGTTTCCCGATCGTTTATCCATATATGTATATAGTCTTCAGGGGACAACAGTGGAGCAAGCTATGATTGGGTAAGATTAAAAACGGATTTATTATAATGAAATCATCGTTTTGGTTGTAAGTCACTTTCATGGCAAGTATCATAGATAAGCAGTTTTAAGGGTTATAAAAATCTAGGAAGTCATCTTCTATATATGTTATAGTTCTCATAAACTACTTAAGCTAATTTTACTTTAATTTTTTATACAAATCAGCTTCGATCCACTGTGACAGTAATGCGGATCCTGAAGCGCAGATCACCGATCTAGTCCATCGGCCTGCGAAATATGATTGCTGTTTGGCATGGAAGAACAAAACGGAGAACTCCAGTTACCAACTGGCGAACAGCAGCGATACAAGCAACAAGGAATGTCAACACGGATCCAACTGCCAATGCACTGGGAAAATAGTGATAAAATTCAAATTTTGGATGACGCTAACGTTCATTTTCAAGTTGTATGAAGGCTATAACATATTCTAGAGAAAATGTGTTAAATATATACCAAGACTCACTCATAAAGAGGTGATGAAAACCCTGAAATTCCTTAAGAAGTTTCCCCCTTTTCTCCAAGTGCACCATTGGACTGCTGCCTCCGCTGATCTTGTTACCGATTTCGATTTTGATGGCGATTTTGACTGGCCGCGAAGAGCTGACAATTCGCTTGAACTGCGGCGGAGATGGGATGGAAACCGGGGATGGGTATACATAAATCCCCCGAATGGTGAGGATCGGAGGCAGCCACAGAATGTGTCGAGCCATTGTCACTGCATGCCGCGGATCCACGATACTTTATTCATTTATTCCAATAATAATAATGCAATGCAAACATTGATTGTCATCGATTGTCAGCCGAAGGCTGCGCACGCGCATTCGCCTCGGATGTGTACTGGATTCTGGAGGGGAATCTCGGTGTAGAGGTGGAAGCTGAGGGTGAGGTAGACTTATGCCCTTTTAGGGCATTTTTGATAGGTGACAGATTTTGTGCGCTCGCCGCGCGATTTGTGGGCAAAATTTATGAGTTGTTGTCAGTTGGAATGTCGCTGTCCTTGTTATTGTTTCGCTGTCGCTGTAGCTGCCGAGATTTCCTGGCCATATTTACATTTAATTTCAGTTTATTATTTATGCCCCTTTTATGCCACCCGCCCTCTTTCCCCCTCTGCTTTTCCGCAGATGAATAAGCCTGTTTTACATAAAAAATTGTTTCATTTTTTATTTCATGGCCCTGGACGAAATCTGATTGGAGAGCTGAACAGCCGGAGAGCTGGAGAGCCGGGAGCGTCGTGTAATTGCTTTTTGCGTTGCTGAATTTAAATGAAAATGAATTCAATATTGCATTTTCACGCCGAAATGCTTCCAAAAACAGATTTTTCATTTACACTTTCTGAATGGCGCAATCCGGATTACGTGTCCCACGGGCCCATGGCATTGATTCTGTTCCTGCGCATGCCAGTGCAGCCCCTCTGCCACCCCTTTCTGCCAGTGGCTCAAAGGATCCGCCAGCCAGTCCATCCGCCCCTTGACACTCCCCTGAAAAAATGACGGACACTGGCAATACATCGCCGCAAAGGCGTATTCTGAATGCCCTTTGAGGGACAAAGGACTCGCCGCTTTCGCACACTTTTTCATCGCCTTTCCTGGGGAAATTAATCAACAACGTGCGAGAAATTAAAGGCAAACCAATTTGAATGCTGTCAAGAATCCAAAGAGCTCAGCCTGGCTTTCGTTGCCTATTCCAGGTCCGGTCAATCGGTAGATGTATCTGATTGAAGGAACCGAACTACAAATATTTACAGCAGGAAAAGACTAGCAACATTTTATAAATCTTTGTAATAATCCTTGAATTTAACATTAAAGATGTCATAATAGTTCTTTCTGCTTAGCATTAGCAAAGATTTTTTGGTATAATTAATTAGAAAAGAAAACTTTTATTAGAAAAGAAATCGACCGCTTCCCTCTGCCTCTATAGATACTGAAGCAGAAAAAAAGGAATAATTGGCCCCAACAAGGCTATACAAGAATGATTTACATGTTCATGCATATAGTAATAGACCGAGTACTGACTTCCGCAATCTGAATCATCATCATCATATATGCACATACATATAATCTTCGATCCAAAACTGAATCCGGGTCGGACTCCTTAAGTTTTGTGGGACATTATGCATACAGGGGCTGCGGCGTGTTAAATTTATTTATTGCCATTGGAATTATGGGGTTTCGTACCCTCAATGACGAACGATCTACATTTTGATGGCTGTCGCCAGTTTTTTGTATGGCCGATTTGATTTCATTGCTGACCATTTTGTCAGATACGGCATGACTTTTTAATGTACTCCACTCCGGAGATTCGTTTCGATTCGTTTTTGTCATTTTAATGTGCATTGAATTTTAATTCCCAAAAATCAAAACACTTTCAAAAGGAGACGAAACACGATCTAGATATACGATTACGACGGGGGCACCAAAAAGTTTGTCAAAATTTTAAAGAGCCCAGAGCCCTGCCTGCCTCTGCCTCTCAAAATTTATGCCATTTTTGGTATCCGCCTCTGTGGGCCCATAAAACCCAAAATACCTTTCGACGTTTTTTTTTACCAGTTCACTTCTCCGAAAGCGGAAAAAATGATCTGATTTATATTTGACACAATGGTCTGTTACAATATATATCGCACGCCTCTATCTATATATATATATTTGTACATAACTCAGGTGCCTACTCTGATACATAAAACATAAGGCTGATACGTGGGCGGAAAGGGAGCGAGGGCTTGTCGGGGGTGTAAAGTGCGGACTGGGGCCGTAAATCGCCGCCAGACGACATAAGGCGGCCATTATGATGCGCAATAACTCGAATCGCAAAATAACAGCCAGCCAAAACAAAAGCCAAGAAAAAACCTGGCTTATACGCCACTTGAGGCCCAATTATATCGCAATGAGTGCTCGTAAAATATTGGGGTGTTGACAAATTATGGCAACGCCTTTGCCCGATCACGACTTGCACGTTAATCAGCTCTTCGGGGCTGTCCATAAGCTCGGATCCGCGGCTCTGATTCCGTTTCTGGTTCGATTTATCACTCTGACGGACTGGCAAAAATGGAATGACTTTGCCAGATCGGCTTTACGATAAGCTTCTGTGGATTTCTCTACGGAATCTTTAAATAGAACTTTAACTATATGGAAATATATAGCCAGAAATGGTGGGAAAAAGTTCCTTAAACTAATTAATACTTTTTTGACATTGTTAAGAACTTAAGTACAGTAAACAAGAAGCCAGACAAAAGATAGTAAAAGTAGAAAGAAATTACTTAAGCAACCCTTTTGATAAATAACTTTTCAGAAAATAGGACAGACAATGGTTATATATAATGACATTAGGCTTATCATTATTTTTTGGGGGCATGTGCAACATTTTCCGTTTTCCTTACCCCTGTCAAAGTCCCGGAACAGCAGGAGGTATCCATGTCGTGCTCCTTGAAAATGTCGCGCAGGTTCGTTGGGCTTCTAATTAATGTGCGCACCTTAAAAGGCGTTAAAATGACAAACAAACCATAAAACTCTGATAGCAGCGTTTTTACTTAAGAAATATGTTTGAAAAAGAAAAACCGACAGCAGGCAGAATGACACAAAGGCCCAGCTCAACCCCTGTGCGTATATGAAATACGACCTCTGGAAGGGGTCAGCGATATGCTTACCACTTCGATCTCACCCACGAGCAATGCGGAACAGGTGCTTGATATTGAGGGATCCCAGGGGCTGCGCAATGTGCGTTGATGTAGGCTTATCGAGTTGTCATTGTCCTGAGACCCCAGGACCCTCTTCGCCAATTAATTCCGAAGGATAACGCCGCAAAATGCGCAAACATGGGCTTAATTAATTTGAGCCTGCAGCGCAACCACTTCTGCCCATGTCCTGTTACGGGATGCGTTGTCCTCTTCCTGGCTTGCAATTTCCGCTTACCAACTTAGAAGCTGCAGGCGCGATCCTTATCGATTCGAGCATTTGGCATTTTGGCCGTTCTCGCGCTTGTCCAACATTTCTGAGGGAGATTGAGGGCGAGTATGATGTGCCATACATGGCTACTGGCGTTTAAGCCGTTTAGCAACAGCTGATTAATGCCAACAGTGCCAAACTTGAACCAACCAGCTTAAGCAGGTGCTTTTCCAAGCTCACATATTCGGTGAAAATAGCAGCCCCCGCCAAGTACATTGAGGAGTCAGGAAGTCTGGACTTAGTATTTAAATTTAAGAATTTAAGAATATTTATTTAACTATTTACAAAATCCTTTAAGTCTAATGTTAGCCCCAGAGTGTGTTTACCTTCTTTGTGGCCATTAAATGTGGCTCATATTTTAGAGACCAACTAGGACCAGCCTGGCCAAGTCCTAGCCAAATACTATCGCCATCGGTGCATTCATAAATCAAGTGGCTAATTAATGGAGCCCGATAAGGAGCGCCAGAATTAGAACTCGCCCGTGTTTATCAATTATATTTTCCCCACTTAATTTGCCCGCCTTTCATGGACCGGCTGAGTAATCTGCATGAGTTATTCCCGCAAATATCCCGCCTATCATCCGAAAGACTTGGCCAAGAGCGTAGCCG